AAAAAAAAAAAAAAAAAAAAAAAAAAAAAAAAAAAAAAAAAAAAATATGTAAGTATCAAAATTAAAGTAATTCAATTAGGGCAATAGTTTGCATTTGGGACTTATGAATGGCAAAAATTCCAGAATTTCAATTCAGAAAAATGTGTTTGCCTAAGAATACTATTGTAGTCTGTGTAAGTCGTTCACTTTCTGCTAAGAATAGTCTTTGATGGCGTTTAGTCAATCCAATAATAATATACAATCTCAAGAGAAATTTAAATAGTCCCTTTTGCTTCTTCGAACAGCTGCATGTTTGGTGGTTACGCCCTGCTGAATGCTGGTGAAGTAAGGAAATAAGCCCTGTGACGCCGGACAGTTGACCCAGTGACTGTAAACAGCTGCCAAGGAGCCGGCAGACAGCGTATGCGGCACGGGTGCCCCGGACACCAGGGTAACTCACATCCTGAGCAGGACAGCGTGGCGTGTGTGAGAGCTCTGAGGCTGCTCCCAATCGTGTCGGATTTAAAACTTAGAAACTTTACTTCTAGAATTTTCCATTGAATACTTTCTTAACTTGGTTGACTGTGGGTAACTGAAACTGCAGAAAGCAAAACCATACAAAGGGAGTGAGCTCAAGCTCCACGCGCAGGCCCTGGTCCTCCTCCAGTCCCTCATCCCTGTCACAGACACATGCGTCTCGCCTTACAGTTGCTTAGCACCATCTCTTCTCTCAAACAGCGCTCATCTGCCAAAGTTTCATCTCCACAATCACAAAATTGAACCATTTTCATCTTACTGTCTCAGCAGCAATTGGCAGGAAGTCTTAGCTTCGCAACATAATATTCTTCTGTTGTCTCTTTCTTCCTGTAGCTGCTCTTTCACAGTATAGTTTGCCAGTTCATACTTTCCTACTCTACTGTTGTTAAATGTTGGAATTATTCTAGACCGAGGACCTCTTCTCACTATTCACTCTTCTTCAGGTGATAAAATTTACACCTAGGAAGCTGGGCATGATGGTGCATGCCTGTAATTCCAGCACTCTGGGAGGTTGAAGCAGGAGGATCTCAAGTTTGATCCCTAGACAGTGTAGCAATTTATTGAGACCCTGTTTCAAAATAACAAGTAAAATATGGTTGGCAGTTATAGTTCAATGCAAAGACCTTGGATTCAAGGCAGGTGTGGCAGCACGCATCTGTAATTCCAGCAGTGTGGTAGGCTGAGGCAAGGGGATCACAAGTTGGAACCCAGCACAGGTAACTCAGTGGCTTACTAAGACCCTTTTCAAAATTCAAAAATAAAAAAGCACTGGACATGGTGGTGCATGCCTGTAATCCCAGCACTTGGGAGGCTGAGGCACGAGGATCACCATGAATTTGAGCCCAGCCTTGGCTATATAAGTGAGTTCAAGGCCAGCCTGAACTACATAGGGAGACCCTGTCTCAAAAAATACACAAAAGAGACAAACAAATAAATAAAGGGCTCTGAATGTAGCCTTAGGTTTAATCTCCAATACTGAAAAAAAAATTTACACCAGGATTTCAATGACCAATTTTGTGCTGACAACTCAAATTTTTATCACCAGATCATTTTTCTGGTCTACACATGTAATATCCAAGCACATTCCTGGCATTTCTTCTGAGCATTTCAAAGAGAAGTTAGAATAAACTCAGGATTTCACGCTTCTAGCCCGCTGCATCTCCAGCTTCCTATTGCAACATCATCTGACCAGCTTTGGAGACCAGAAACTAGGAGTCACCTTCGACACTCCTCCTCCACACCAGGCTGTCACGTCCTGCTGACTGTGTCTCCTCAGCATTTCCCCAATGCATTCATTTCTCCATGGTCCCCCAGGTTCTAGGTACTGCACAGTATTATAACATCCTTCTAACAGTGTCTCCAGAATTACTGGAAATCCACCCCCGCTTGAATCTATTCTCCCACTGCAACCAGAGCAATGTTTTTCAAATGCAATGTGATACATACCACTCCCAAAACAACCTCAAAAATCAAACAATTAAAAAAAAACCCTTTCACTTTTTTTCAGTTAGTGTTGGGACAAATCAAAGCTTGTACCTGGCAGGTATAGTGGCATACCCCTAAAATCCTAACACTGAGGAGGCTGAGACAGGAAGAGCACAGCAAGGTCAAGGCAAGCCTAGTCTACAATCCGAGTTCAAGGAAGCCTGAATTACACAGCGAGACCCTGTCTCAAAACACAAAAACAAAACAAAAGCTTTTAACTGGCACTGAAGATCTAGTTCCTATTTGTTTCTCTATCCTCATCTCCAGTTGTACTTGCCCTGCTTCTGCTCATGGAAAGAGAGGAAATCACAAACTGTATATGTTATTCCCTCTTTTCTATCCTACTTAACTTGTACTTATACTTTAGGGACTCCCAGTACTGGAAAAAAAAAAAGCCAAAAAAACCCAAACTAACAAACTTATACTTTAGGTATCATTTTACCAAGAATGCTTCTTTGCCCTCTCTGACAAAATAAATTTTTTAGTATCTTCTAATTCTCCTTAACAAGTGCTATAGCTAAATGTGTTTGTAGAATTACTTCTGCATGTCTATCTTTTCCCATCATTGTATCCCTAAGGCCTAGTACAATAACTGGCATAAAATAGACATTCAACAGTGGGCATAGTGGTGCACATCTGTAATCCCAGCACTCAGGAGGCTGAGGCAGGAGGATTGCTGCAAGTTTGAGGTTAGCCTGGGCTACAAAGTGAGTTCAAGGTTAGCCTGAATTGCAGAGTGAAATCCCATTTCAAAAAGACACAAACAAAAACATGCTGAATGAGTTAATGTTATTTACAAAGTATTATCATTTGATTAAAGCAGGCCACAAAGCAATTCTAAATAATTCTTGATAAACCTATAGGAGTTCATTATATAAACACTATTGTTACACAGGGAGAACATAAAAAACATTATTAAAGGCCAGGCTTGGTGATACATGTCTATAATCCCAGTACTTGATAGGGTGAGAAAGGAGGATCACTATGAGTTCAAGCCAGTCTAGACTACATAGTGAGTTTGGGATCTGCCTAAACTATATAGTGAGACCTTATCTAAAAAAAATAAAACATGCTGGGCATGATGGCACACACTTATAAACCCAGCCCTCAGGAGGCTGAGACAGGAGGGTTGCCATGAGTCTGAGGCCAGCCTGGGCTACACAGTGAGTTCAAGGACAGCCTCTATTACATAGTAAGACCCCGTCTCAAGAAAAAAACCAAAAACTCCCCCAATCAATCAATCAAAAACAAAAGGATAAAAGCATTGAAAGGTCAACAATACAAAATAATTTAAAGAATAAATGATAAAATTTCCCCTTTGACCACCCAATTTCACTGCCCAGGCAACTACAGTCGATAGTTTACTGTGTATCTTATGTGTATGTGTATATGTGCATAAAACTAAATGTATTTTAAAACTGCTGTTTTATAATGTTCTTAATTTGGATTGATTTTTCTTATCTGTCTGAATCACTGAGACTGCGTTATAACCCGAAATTAACCTAAAAGAAGAAGCCAGAAGATGAAGCAGCTCGTTAGCCCGGGCCGAGCTCCGGTCTTACCTCCTTTTCCATTCTCCTCGGGCTTGGTGTTCATTACACAGGCGATAAACTTGTTATCCACCTGCTGGAGAACCTGCGCACATGCAATAAGGACAACACTAAGTAAAAACTGGCAAAAGCTTATCTGCATAGAAGACAAAATTGCACTTAACAGTTGTTTGCATTATAACATTCACATCTAAGACTGAGATAAGGTGCTACCAAACCTTAGGAAAGTTCATACTGGGCAGAATGTTAATACTTTTACCTTAGGAAAGATAAAAGAATGTTCATAGTGGTAGAGAGCCAGTCTAGCATGTCTGCATTCAATTCCCATGCGGTGGGTGGGGGCAAGCACCCAGGTATATAAGGCTCCTACTAAAACCCTGTAGTTATTACTCAGGGTGTTAACACCCAGGGTGTTAATGGAATGCCTCTGTGATTTCTAAGCCTTGTAGCCCCACAGAAGAGAGAGTTATTTTTAAAAGGGCATTGTTGCACAGTTAAGGACAATGATTTATAATTTTTTTTGGAGACAAGGTCTCACTATATAGTTCAGGCTGGCCTCGAATTCACTATGTAGCCAGGCTGGCCTCAAACTCACAGTGATACTCCTGCCTCAGCCTTCCAAACGCTGGGATTACAAGCGTGTACTACCATACGTGGTCTATAAATCATCATAAAATACAGAGTTAACACGACCTTCTGCAAAGATAAATCCACAGTTCTTAAAACTGTAAGCCCGAGTCCACAATTTATTCTCTCCAAACCTGCTCACACTAAGAACATTTTTTCTTTGCAATTATACTTAATCCCTTGCTTTTTCTTCTGATGATAAAAGTTCCAGCAAGTTAAAAAAAAACAAAAACCCACATTCCTTAATCAATGTGGTCTTTATCATTAAATAAATCCAATTTCACAAGAGTTAGTCTAGCTTTGGTTTCACAGATTTCAAAGTAAGTTTTACCTGCATTGAGTGAATCATTTCTTTGGTGAAACGGTAGGGATACAAAATGTTGTGAATTTTAACTGCTAAGCTCTCAGCCTGGCCACTGCTTACATCAACAGCAACCTAGAAAGACCCAGCAAAACATAATTTAAATTTTAAATCGTCTCCAAATTGTTTTACCAAGGACCTCAGAGTTCTTTATTCTCTCATATAACTTAGCAAAAGTTGGTTGAATTTGGGTAACATACAGATACGAAAGCTCTACAAATAGTCTTAAACTAACAATTTTTGTTTATAAACAAAATTACTGACAAAAACAAATATTGCTTTGGAACAACCTGCCTATGCTGCATGATCAAGTCCTGAAAGACATTTACTGAAGACTCAGTAGTCACACACTCGTCTATTGCACGGCCTCATAACACACAAAGTACACGCCGTGATAACACACCAAGGAGGGAACGTGCACCCAGGCCCAATAATGAACTGTTCCTCCAGGAGAAGATTCACTACTTTGTTTAATGGTAACGGTTTTATTATCATCACCCTGAATATTTTACTGAAGCTGAGTCAGAGCAAATGCATTCCCTACTCACACACTGAATATACACATAATCCAAAATGCCTGAAATGTTCATTCCTTCTCTGTACATTAAACATAAATTTCCAGATAAATTATTTGGAAACATGCCTAATTTCAGTCACAATTACAACAGGTCCTACCTGGTTTAAATGAAGTTCAAATTTTAAAATAACAGGCCAAGAAAATTTGCTGCAAACCTACCTCTGGGTAACGGGAAAATACTGGATTGTCCCATTCTGAAAACAAAGACTGAAGTGATTGATGACCACCAACGGCATTGTCCACAGCACCTAGGACAAAGTGAACAGGTAAGGTGGGCCTTAGGAGCCCAAGGAAAAAAATCGAATGGCCTCTCCTGTTGGCTGCCTCTACAGAGCAAAGATCAGACACACTGTTCCTATATCCTACATGTTCAGGCTTTGCTACACTGTTTCACTAAGTTGTTGACATATGTTATTTTTTCAACTAGAGTTGATGGCTGTATCTTCTGACATTACAACTTTTCTCCAATCTGTTATCTAGAGATAATTCAGGATACAAGTCCAGAAGAAGCTATGGCTCCAATTAGCAAACTTATTGCCTTTAGGTAAAAATATGCCCTTCCTATTTGTTATTATTTTACCTTACCTATTTTTTTAAACAAAAAATAATAGATTTTCTCTAGCTTCTGCCAGAGTTCTGCTTAAATTAGACTAATGCAGTATGGAGTGGAAGCCCGATCTTGAGAAATAAAGAAATATTCCCCACTCACAAGACACCACAGGCTACACACAGTCACCAGCACTGACCTCAGGTCTGGAAAAGTAATTTTGATCTAAATGCACGCACTGAATTACTTAGTTCTGGTGCTAAATAGGGCTGTGGGGAATTCCTGGTCCAGTAAAGCACAGCTGGCACTGATCAAGCTTAGTAATCCAGTGGTGCTCTGTTTTCTGCATTACGTGCTACAGGGTGTACTGGGTGTTCCTACAATCTCTGATCTTGCTCCTACCTGTGTTATTCTGTCTCATCAGAATCCTCTCTTCCCGAGCTCTTGGAAGGAAAGGAAGAACAAGGTCACTTCTAAAAGGGTGACACCTGTACTGAGAACCTAAATATAAAACAGAAAAACCTAGAGATTTGAACTCAACATATAAATAAATGGTTAAAAATTAAATTCCATAAAATCTCCACAAACTGAATGAGGGCATAAAATAGCTATTATACCCTAGATGGAGAACCAAAAGTTCCTTAATGAATTTTTTTTTTTTTTTGGTCTTTTTGAGACAGAGTCTCGCTATGCAGTTCAGGCTGGCCTTGAGCTCACTTTGTAGCCCAGGTCTCGAACTCATGATCCTCCTGCCTCAGCCTCCTGAGTGCTGGGATCACAGGCGTGTGCCACCACGTCCAGCTCCTTAATGAAATTAATCTGCTGTGTTAGGAATCTTCATTAATGCTTAGTCCCATTATCCCTCTACACCAGCCAGAATGAAGATCCAGACTAGATCAGTGGCGATGGGGCGCAGTTCTGCATGGGCAGTTTGGCAACTCCAGACATTCTTTGTTCTCACGACTTAGGAGAAGGATGCTACTGGGATCTAGTAGACAACGGCCAGGGGTACTGCTACATATCCAACAATTCCTAAGACAAACCCTACAATAAGAATTACCTGAGTAAGAATTACAGTAAGAAGTACAGAAAGCCTGTGGGAGACAGACAGTGGTACCGAGTCACCCAAAACTTGGTGTAAGCTTCACAAATCCCCAATTTATGTCTCTTATCCCCAGTGTATACTACACTACAATTGTATATACTGTACTACAATAATATTTATCTTAGATCATACTTTTATTTACACAGCTGTTCTCTATAATAGACCATGAAATGCTTAAAGCAAAGTCAGTTTACCTGCAATGTGGCAACATCTAGCAGAGTGTGCAATCACAAATCTTGAAGGAAAACATTCATAAAAAGAGTGAATGAGAAGTTATCAATTTAGGCAGATGTGGGGGCACATGCCTGTAATCCTAGCACTTGGAGGCTGAGGCAGGAGGATCTCCATGAGTTCAAGGCCACCTTGGGCTACACAGTGAGTTCAAGGCCAGCCTGAACTACATTGTAACTACATGTACAGGGGGGAAAATTCTCAATTCAAACTCCAAAGTGTGGTGTGATTCTGCTCAAAACTCTACCCATGTCTCTGAAGGATGATTAGGCTTGAGTTTCAGAAATAATGCTGAATATGACAGTTATGAACAGGAACAAAATGTGGTAAAGCTATTTATTTCAAAATGCTAAATTCACTGGACAAAAACTAGAGACATTAAAATTTATTAAGGTGTGAGGTAAAATAAGGTTGTACAAGCGGTAATAGGAAGGACTGAGTTGCAGATATTTTTAAAAGAAAAAATTCCCAGAGTTTGTGATCTTGACTTTGTTCTTTAAAATTACCTTTATAGGTCCTCTCTTCTGTACAACAAAATTACCTCCAGTAATTCATCTCACATAACATTTTTATGTGTGGGTCAAATGTGCCCTGATGTCTTACTGTACATAAGCCATTTCTGGAAAAGCACCATTCCATGTGAATGGAGGATGATGAAGAGTCACTATTTCATGGAATTTGTTTCTGTACCAATTCACTACAAGATATGCTAATCCAGAGAGTGGAGTGGATTAAAGTGATTTATTTAGCAGGAGCAGATGTTTATGTTGAGTATGGCAACTAGAATTTCCCCCTTTGTTTTAGCAACAACAATCTCAGTTTAATGTAAGCTAGTTAATTTCTGGCTTAATTTATATCAGAAGCAGTTGCATTTCATAAGATGAGGCACTGGTGCCTTAGATCTTCGAGAAGCGTTCAGTATAAATCAGTACCAAAAAAATGACTTAGGCTGGAAAACACATAATATTGTCTTAAGAATAATTTGATACAGGTTCGAGACCAGCCTGGGCTACAAAGTGAGCTCAAGGCCAGCCTGAACTGCACAGCAAGACCTTGTCTCAAAAAGACAAAAAAACCAAACAAACAAAAAAAGAGTAATTTGATCGTCTCAGGAGCAATACTGAAAGAAGAGGGTTTTTTTTCTCTTGCTGAATACTTTGAAAGTTACAACAGGGATTATTTTTTCACAAGCAACAAAGTGAAAAACATTGAAAAGTAAAGGTCTCATTTAACTAAATAAGTCAGAGCCTCCTACTAGAGATACTCACTTTAAAAAAAATTGTATGTTGATTTCAAATTACATTCATACAATTGACATACTTTTGACTTATTCAAGACTTTTAACATGGATGCAGGTTTAATGTTTATCGTCCCAGTGCAAAGCCAAGATTACAGCCAGATGGGAATCACCTTTATCATTTCCCAACATCTGGTTCTCAACACACTGCCAAAACAGCGTCACTTTTAACACTGACTCCTGGCAAGTGGAAGGTCCTGAGTTCGATTTCCGGTATCAAAAAAAAAAAAAAAAAAATACTGAGACCTGAGGACCCAGAGTCCTGGTCTAGCTCTGATGTCGCCTTGTGTTATGATCTAAAAGCCACAACACTGTTCTCCTCAATAGCATCTTCTTATGCCCGAACATATCAAGTGGATTACCTATGCATTTTAATGAAGTACACTTGACAAGTACAGTTACAAAAGTATGTCCTTAGCTCTTATTTTGAAAAACTTATGCTCAAGTCCTTCTTTCTGGAAAAAAGTTCATAAAACAGTACTGTACTGAGCTATGGATTTTATTGGAAAACCTAGGATGATTACAGATTGTTCTAGCCTTTAGTACAGGAGCCACAGAAAGAAACTTCCATGCCTTTAAAGACCAATTTCTGAGAGCTGTGTGCTTGGAAAGGAGGGTGCAGTGGGGCAGGGAAGTGCTGTGATCTTAAAATGGGCTATTTCATCTTTCCTTTTTCTTAGGTGTGATTAAAAAATACAGTGAAAATTCTTGTTTCTTTCATGGCTATTGCTGAAGCTGTACAGCCAAAATGAAGTTCAATCTTTTGTTTTCTTTTGTCTTTCTGAGACAGTCTTTCATTATGTAGTTCAGGCTGGCCTCGAACTCACAGTGATCCTCCTGCCTCAGCCTCCCGAGTGCTGGGATTATAGGTGTGCAACATGATGCCTGGCCTGAAGTTCAATCTTTTTATGTCTGGATCGAAGCAAGAATGTAAAAGACATTTCAGTGCACCTTCCCAGACTTGCGGGAAGCTTATGTCTTCCCCTCTTTCCAAAGAGCTGAGATAGAAATATGATGTTCAATCTATGCCCATCTGAAAGGAGGATGGGGTTCAGGTTGTACAAGGACACTACAGAAGTCATAAAGGTCAGTGGACTGGCAAAGCAGTCCAGGCTGATGGGAAGAAATGTATCGTCGAGATCGACACTGAACGGTGCAGTGGGAAAAGGCGAACAGCATAAGTGTCCACGTGGGCATTCGCCCCACCCTGATGGCTATTACCAGGCTAACACCAGACAATGACCGCAAAACGATCCTTGAACGAAAGGCGAAATCTCCCCAAGTAGGAAAAGTGCAAACATAAGGAAGAAAGAATTGAGAAAAGGCAGGAATAAAGTCTTCTTATACACAAATTTAATTAAAAACTGCTAAAATGAAAAAAAAGTGAAGGTTTGTTTAAAATTTATTACAGTAAAAAACACATTACCATTAATCTTCCTCATTTTGTACACATTTACCCCATCGTTCTGGCCCGAAAGCCCTCTTTTGTGAGCACTGTTGTCTTAATGTCCTGAACTGATTTGAAACACTTACCTTTCATAACCATTTTGACTTTGGGGAAATGTCAGAAGTTGCACGGTTCCAGATCTACTGAATAAGGACACAATGTTTTTTCAAGTATTTTACATCCTTTTCATTGGATGGCACTTGGCAGCAGCATTCTCCATTTTTTAATCACACCTAATAAAAACACTCACAAAAGAGGACTTCTCGAACTGCTTCAGAAAGTGGCAAGCACAATGGGATAAGTGTATGTGAAGGGGACAGGTTGAGAGGGATTAATAGTAATGTGTCCTTTACTGTAATAGATTTTAAAAATTTAAACACTATATTTTGATCAACCTTCTATATATACCCATACAAATACATATATACACATATCGTTATCAATCTTTCATTGTATTTCTATATTCAATTAGTGCTGGAGCTAAAAATATCTTCATACACCATAAAAAAAAGTTTCATAATCAGTCTGCAAATGTTCTGTCTGCTGAGAACATCTCCTTGAATAACAATTACCTTACTCCTTGGATATTCTTCCCATCTTCAAAAGCATTTCCCGCCAGTACTTACCATTCCCAAGTATGATATCCACAGCCATAGTTGTCAGATCTTTAGTACAAGCAGTCTGAACATCCTTAGTAGGAGCAACAAATGTGCTAAGTCCAGTCATTTTGTTGATATAAACCATTCTTCCCAGGGCTACATCAAAATGCTGCTGCCAGTCGGAAGAATAGGTGTTTGACTCTTTATGTTCAAAACAAGCTTTTGCTTCAGAATCCTCACTGGGAGAACAAACTCCATTTTGGTCAACTGTGGTATTTTCTGCTTGACTTATTAACATTCTACTGGGAGAATCAGGACTTTCTATCTGTTGCTCTGGGGCTCTAATAAAAACATCTGCATCTTTAATTAATTTAACATCATTATAGGGTAGTACCAGAGGAGTTTCAGGTTTCACCAGGTTTTCTGTTGTACTGCTGTTAGAATGTGCTTCACTGTCGTTATTGAAGGAGTTATCTTGTATGACAGAATCTGACACTGGGATGGCGCCACTCTCTAGTTTTTCATGCTCAGTTTTGAATAATGGACAAAAATCCAGGGCTAACCCACTGCATAAGTCCCTGTCTTTCTTACTGGGATCTGAATTTGGAAATTCATTACAATGACTCACCATTTCCACTATTTCAGTCTCTTTTTCGGAACCCTTCAGTCTGGATAATTTAGAGGCCAGTGATTCAGGTGACTTCTCAACACCCGAAAGTTTTCTGTCAGAGTGAAGTAACTCTGTTAGCGCTACAGGACTTTCTCTCAAACAAGGCATCTGCTGTTCCAAGCAATCCTCTTCCTCGAAGCATGAAAATTTCTCCGAGTACAGGATGTGACTTACTGGTTGACAACTACTATTTGAATCATTATGCTGCATAGTAGTGATCTTACAAACATCAGAGTTGTCTAAGGGGTTCCTGTCTGTCAGTAAAAAGTCAGGTTCAACTTGAGAACTGAGACTGGTAGCGACTTCACTATTATTTTCTTCCACTTCTACAGCCAGAGGGTTTTTAACCTTCCCATAGAGTCTCTTAAACCTCTCTAATGATCCTAGTTGGGAACTCAAGCTTAGCTTTTTACAGTCTATGGGTTTGGAGGAAGTAATCAATTTATCTGTTTTCTTACTATTATTTGAAACATATCTCTGGCAAGGGAAAGAGGATGTATCAGGTAATAAACTATCTGTGTGTGCTTCAGCACTTTTCTGAAAATCTGAGTTTTTATAAATTTCTACATGTTTGTTTGCTAGCCCATAACTTGTGTTTGTTCTGTAAAATTTTTTGTTGGGTAGGTAAGCAGATTCTTTACATAATGTGCTAGTTAAATCTTTGATGTCTGGAGTCTCAACTGAGTGATCTATTCTGTTTCCAAATATTTCTTGGGCATTTGTAGGACCGGGTCGGACATAGTTTTTAAAGGAGTGTTCTGTTTCAGTTGATTTAATTTGCTCATTTTGTACAACATGAGTTATAAAGCCAGTGGAACATAACTTAACTTCTCCATAACTAAACATATTTATTCTTCCACAACTGTGAGGCTCTTTTTTTCTCTTCTCTTTCTCTCTCTCAGCACTGTGAACTCTCAGTGATGTCATCCTAAAAGGCAGAGGTTGACATCCCATTTCAGTAGCATCTTTAAATCTCTCCAGTTGATTCTGAGTTCTGTTATTTTCCAGGATGTTGGCAGCCATGCCATTAACAGTAGCACTCACTTTCTGTATTTCTAGATCTGATCCACTCTCCTCAACATACTGTTGTATCTGACAAAGGCTCGAAAATATTTCTGAATTCTTTCCACATGGACTTTCTAAAGAGTTACGTTCCAAGCAAGATTTGTTATGGTTCTCATTTTCTCTTAATTCTGATGTTTCAACTGTCTCTTGTTCTAACATTCCCGATTCTAAGGAAAAGCTATCTGTGTTGTATAAAGATAATTCTGTCATTTTACTATGGCCTGGGCTATCTGATTCACAAATGGACAAAGATGAGTCATCTGTCTTTTTTCTGATAGCTTGTGAATCCTGTGTGTTTATGTTTTCCATGGTAGCTTTTCTTTTCACAGCTTTTGATTGCAAATTAAACATTTCATAGGAATCTAAAATATTATTACATGCTTCCTGGAAACTACCTTGGTCAAGCTTCTCATCAGAAGAGAGATGTTTCTGAAGAGTAGTTCCAAATAAACTAAAATCATTATCGTCATTGAATTCCTTAATGTCTTCACCTGATAATTCCACAAATAATTTTTCTTGCTTTAAAAACAGTTTTACTCCTTCCTGGACGCAAATTAGAAGAGTATCCCAGTTCTGAAACTCAATCAGAGTTTTTGCCGGCTCCATGCACACATCGTACTCACAGAATTGGCACCGCACGTTGATCACATATATCCCATGGAGCTCTGGTGTAGCCCGATGCCGAGGACTTGAATTCATTTGCCTACTGGCAGAGCCATTCTTTGGCTTGCATATAATACTTTCTTTTCTTAATAAAAAGTCGATGAGTTTATGCAACTTTGTCCTTAAAACTAGCCTTCTGTTCACGAACAAAAACTGCATATTCTTACTATAGTGTGCTTCGGAGCTGATATATCCACTAAGTTCAAACTCCTTATATTTAAAATATATTTCTTTTAACTTTTGGGACTTGCCCAATCCATAAATTTGACAAAATCGGGAACATATGTCTTTGGTCTTTGGGAGCTGAAGAATCATAGAACCAGAAACATCATTTCTCAAAGAGAAAGAAATGGAAGGGTGCATGAGGGAGAGGGCCTCTACCCTCTGCCGAACCTTCTCAAACTCCAGTCTAGGATCCAGGCATTTTCTCCTTACGGGTAACTGGTAAAACAGGTTATGTACTGTTACTGTTGTCCCTGCACTGGGCCTAGTCAAGTCAGCTTCACAAGCTTGCAGGGCTTTTCCATTCTGAAACAGTTTCACAAATGTTTTCAGTGTCCCGTTTTTCTTAGATGAAATTTCCACAGCACTGGCCATGTCAGCTATACTTGCCAAGGCCTCCCCGCGGAAACCATAAAACTTTGGGTTCTCCAAGTCCTGTACCAAGTGGCATTTACTAGTGAAGTACCGATTTCCCACCTTGTCTACATCTTCACTCCCCATCCCAAGGCCATTGTCGATCACTTGAACCTGCAAGGTCTCCATGTTCACCCTGATGGCCACGCATTTTGCTTCAGCATCAATACTGTTGAGGGCAAGTTCCTCAACACACTGGCCTAAGGAGTTTATGGCCACACCAGAACGCAATTTGGCTTTTACTTCCCCTGACAAGCACTTGATCATGGCAGGTAGAAAGGTGGTGAGAATGCCAGCAACCGGTTTCCTTCTCTGGAAATAATTGCCTGTGGGAAGAAAAAAAGGCACACACACTATCAAAGCTTCAGTGTTACACAGTGTTACCTTTTTCTTTCACACACTATGAAGAAATATTATTTGGGCTAAATGAAGCCTTTTATTAAACAAATTTATGAACCAAAACAGCACAAAACAAAATTATACTCTAATTTCTACGCAGATCATACAACTCATACTTGGAACAACAAATTTAATGTCCAAACAAGCATTCATAATTTCATAATTTTCATTGCTCCTTTCTAAACTCCTCATGCCCTGTAGTGAAATCATAATTACACTTGACATTGACTCGCAGACAGTATTCAAAATTCTAACCACTTTACCAAAAGCAGATGCCTAAATTAAATTCAGCTAAGAAACATTAGCTAGAAATTATTCATGAAAAAACCCCAAGCTAGTTTCATAACATTTATACGTTACACAATAACCATGACTTTATAATGAAGTGCTAACACATCGTAAATAGGAAGGCGAAGCAACAGAAAGAAAGAAAAAAGACAAATTCTATCAAGCAGAGATAGGCGGTAAGAGGTTATACCATTTGCTATTACTATTGGTTAAACGTAGTTGCTTCAGGGGACAGAGGCTGGGAATGGGAAAGGTTGAGAAAAATTTATTTGGATATGTGCGTTCTTTACCATTTGGCTTTTAAATTTTGTTAATGTATTACTTTGATCTGAAAAACCAAAGAAAACAACTTTTGGAGCCAGGCACTGCAGGACACGCCTGCCAGCCCCGCTGCTCAGGAGGCCGAGGCTCCCAGACGATCGCAAGTTTAAGACCAGCCAGTGCCACTCAGCAAGACCCGTGTCAAAAAACAGAAAGGGCCGGGTGTGACTCAAGCAGGGTCCCGGGTCAGCCCCGGACCGGGAGGGTAGCTCCGTGGCGCGGTGCCTGCCCGCCGCCTGCGCGAGGCCTGCAGCCTGACCCCCGGGCCACATTTAACACATGCTTCGGGGATCCGTGTTAACCCTCTTCCGTCTTAACGCCCCGGATCTTCACACGTGAGCACACACTCGGCAGGAACGACGGCACGGCGGTCTGAACGCAAGCTTTCTTGCGGGTTCCAATACTTCTGGGCCCTCGCGTTGCCCCGCTCTTCCGCGGGGCTGAGCCCCTGGGGCGAAGGGGCCGCTCTGCAAACCTGGGGAGCTCGGGGCTGAGAGGCAGCTCCCGCGACACGACACTGGTCAGCAGCGGACAGCCGG